AGTTTTCATTTTATGCTTTAATTTGTTTTCATTTCAGTTTTAGTAATTTTTGAATGAAAACTAGAAATGCTTCCTGCTATCCGAATGATGTTTTTCATCTAATATTTATAGTTTGCCATTTAAAAAAAAACAAAAACAACACAAACAAAACATCATGCATGTGACCAAACCAAACAGATTTTAGTATTTTTTTAAAACTTCCAAAATTAACAGATTAATTTACTAGCCATAAAAATTAAATATATTTCTAATAATTCTTGAAACTGTATTTGCTTCAAGTAAAACCTCAAAAGAAATGTTTGCAACTTCCTTTTTGCATTGTTTTCCAATTGATTTTCTATGCAGAGATGAGCTGGATGAATGTATTTGACTGTTGTGATGCATGTGTGTGTGTGATCAGGGTCAGGTGAACCCAAAACCAGCTGAATTATACATTACAAATAGACAAATATGACAATATGCAGTTGTACACATCTTTAATTTGTGTGTGTTCTCTTCTTGCATACTTCTGGCAAACAATGCAGATTATTGCATCACATACTAACCAGTGCCTCACTGAAATGTCAATTTGCTACAATAGTTTTCTTCTCTATATATTTTCCTGTTCCATCTCTACTATTCTGTCTCATAAAGGCAAAAAGCCCATAAAGATGCATTAGACGCAGCTGACAGACACTAAGCTTTTGTAGACCTCGTGCATCGCTTTGATTTGACTCACTCTCGTCTGATAAAAAACAGCAATGCTTAGACTATTGTTCTACTGTTGCAATTTGAACCATATATTATGTTGCAATTCCTAAAAACATTAGTAGCCAGCTACTCTCAGCCTCGGATCGCATGCCCACGAACCGCCCACAGTCTCGTCTGATCTATATTGCACAGAAAACTAGAAAGCGCTTGTGAAAAGCCCCAATCAGATCCCCGGATGACAATCTTCCACAGGTGCACAGGGGGATTTTGCCTTTCAAAGACAGTTTTGAGATGATTTCATGAACAGAAGGGTATATCCTGCTTTTTGTGACTGTGAAAAAGTCAGATTTCTTTAGTGTTT